AAGAAGACAAGTTTGTTTGGACGCTATGTCCAGAATTAAAGGGCTACAGAAGAATCTTCCAGTTTAATGCACCAGCTTGTTCACACATGGTTTCTGTTTCTATCCTCCTTCACTTACCTTTTTCATGATTCCACAGCCCTTGATTCTTTGTATGTCCCTTTTTCTGCTAATATACATACACTATGCAAGGAATCCTTTCTCGGACTGCAATCAAATCAGTCATGAGTTATTTTGAATTTCCCTACGGGGATTAATAAAGTACTTCTGATTCTGATTACTTTATCAAAGTAGTGGTAACATTAAGGCTGAGTGAAGGCTACAACTTGCAAACTACATAAAAATACTTAATTATGATGTTGGGTTGTTAGGTTGCTTGTAAAAATGTGTAGGTTTCATTTTGTGTATCATTCACTTTTTTGTCCCTTTGTCCACCAAATACTTTTCTCTGACTTTCAACCATGCCACATTTTCCCAGAAGATAGAGTAGGCTGAGTGTGTTCTGTGTGTTCAACATCTAAGTCACATCTGATCCATCTCGATGAAAGCTTTGTAAAACTATGTGATGCCGTTGAAGACTGAACTCTCATGTTCTACTATGCTAAGATTTTGGAACATTTTCAGGCCAAAGCAACTAAAACACAGGTGAGGTTAAAGAAAGATGATGCGATAGAATCAAAAATATCAAGACTAGTTTTGGATCCATCCAACAGATCTAAAACAAAAGAACACATAGGAACTCTTCCAGGACCATCACAGTCCTATTTAATGTACAATAATTAACTACTCATGCACTGGTGTTGGTTTTTTGGCAGCGAATATAAACCAGCAACAGAAAACAGAATAAACTTAGAACAAAAATCAAACTTGGCTGTTTTTTGGCAGTTATGCAAAACCAAAATCAGTTCTTTCTCAATCTTGGTCGATAATCGCAACCCAGAGCATCAGTTTCCCTTCAACCCTCTGAATATTAAACTGGTCACGTCCTTCCTTTTAACAGTAGTAAAGCAGACATGTTGAATAAGAGTTCATAGATGTTAATGATTTATAACACTGTACTGATGATATGAAAACTTTCGTACCTGTTTAACTTCTTTCAGTGACTCATTCTTGCTGCCCTGGATATTTCAGATCAACCTATCAGTAAAAAGCAGCTGCAATGAACCAAATAAATACTGAATAGAAGCATTATCACATTGTCATCTAAAACTATGTAGGCACAACAAATGTAGTTTCATTTCTCCAAAAAGGATGAATACATAGAAAAAATTCATTTGGACCAGCCCTGCAGTTTGCTAATGATTACCGGTGAGGCAAAAACACAAACAAACAAACACACAGACATTGTTTTATATCATCACTTCAATATATGGTTAGTAGTTTGTGTACACAGGCTGAGCAACAACACTAGCAGGGACCACAACATGTTCAGTTGGGTAGATACTTAACGGTGTGTTTGCAGAGAAATGACAGCCAGACATTCACATAGCTGTCACAAATATAAGCAAGAGTAATACTGTAGAACAGAAATTGTAGGCTTTAAAACATAAGTCTATGTAGCGGGAACCATCACTAGAATTTAAAATAATTTTTGAAATTGTTTTACTTAACATGTCTTCACTAAAATGTATTGTGATATTTAGGTGCTGTTTTTCTAGTGAGTTAACAGAAATATATCAGTGGCTTCGTTTGACATTTGGGAACTATACTTAATTTGTTTTCTTTCCTGGCTGTGTATAAAGCTTGCACAAAGCCTGGAAAAGTCCAACTTTCTCCTGTTAAAAGTTGCACATGTGGGAAATGAGCTAAAATGCAGACTCAGGTGGAAAATGTCCACTCTCAGGAGACACAAAACCTAAAGTTGCTTGCAAAATGTTAACTATATGTACATAATATATTCCTAAAAAAACTACTCAACTAGACTGTTTTTGGAGAACGAACTGTGCTTGGAATGGATGACTACATGAAGAAATCTGCAACTTCCTTTTGGAAAGCCTTTGGATGCTCAGAGCCATTTCAAAGAAATGACTTTTGCATATTTTTATCTTAAACTTTGGCCCCATTCAATTGTAAATGACTGGGGTCAAATGTGATGGTTAAAATGATTTTTATTGACACTGGTACACAACATCAGACAGGGCTGCTTTGCTTCCCTTTCTCCCAGTAACCCATTTGGGAGTTTTTTGTTAAACAAAAGGACCCTCTTTGTTTTTATTACAAAAAATTAATCCCCACATTACTCCCCATTCTTCTAATACCTGCAGTGTTACAACCTTCCCCCAACTGCAAGAAGGCACCCCAACCCAAAACACAGGCTGGGACACAGAAGGCCTTTAGTTTGAAGCCATTAAAAATAAAAAGTCCAATGATAGGGTGAGATTATAGGCCTGACAAAGACGAAAGAGTGAGGAAAACCACGCCTGTGAGGAGGCTAAGAGGACTGGAAAGTACGGAGAAGGCCTCATTCTGTACCATCATACCAGTTCCTATGAAACAGAGAGACATAGAGAGAGAGAGAGAGAGAGAGAGAGAAAGCGAACGAGAGATTAGGTAAATCGAAATATCCATAGTTTTGAGAGTCAGCATCTCACACTGTTAATAGGTACACAATAAGGTTCAAACACACAGATGAGACAAAGCATTATGGCCATTCAGAGATAAAGCAAAGAATGTTGATTATGATATTGATCATAATATAATATATATAATATATCATATATAATATGATATTTGAACCAATTTTATTCTATTGACCTTCCTGAACTGACCTCATTAGTTTCATCATGTAAACCAACAACTTGTCAATTAGACTCTGTCCCAACTGGACTTTTTAAGGAAATGTTCCCCCTGATTGACAGTTCCATATTAAATCAGATTAACATGTCTTTGTTAACCGGCTATGTACCACAAGCTTTTAAGGTAGCTGTTATTAAACCTCTGCTGAAAAAGCCTACACTTGATCCAGAGGTTTTAGCTAACTATAGACCCATCAAACCTGCCCTTCATTTCAAAAATCTTAGAGAAAGCTGTTGCTAACCAGCTGTGTGATTACTTAGATAGTTACGGTTTGCTGGACAAATTTCATTCAGGATTTAGAATCCATCACAGCACAGAAACAGCACTATTGAAAGTCACTAATGACCTTCTTATGGCATCAGATGAGGGACTTGTCTCTGTCCTCGTCCTGTTGGATCTTAGTGCAGCATTTCACACAATACATCATAAGATCCTGTTACAGAGACTAGAACAACATATAGGAATTAAAGGAACAGCACTACACTGGTTCAAATCATATTTATCAGATAGATTCCAATTTGTTAACGTTAACAATGACTCCTCCATGCACATGCAAGTTAATCATGGAGTTCCACAAGGTTCTGTCCTTGGACCAATACTCTTCACCTTATATATGCTCCCCTTAGGCAACATCATGAGAAAGCACCACATACACTACCATTGTTACGCAGATGACACCCAGCTGTACATTTCTATGAAGCATGATGAATCTAATCACTTAGTTCAACTTCAGGAATGTCTCAAGAACATCAAGGCCTGGATGACCCAAAACTTCTTACTTCTGAATTTAGACAAAACTGAGGTTGTTGTAATTGGCCCTTAACATCTTAGAGAATCACTGTCTGAACAGATAGTTACGTTGGATGGTGTCAGCTTGGCCCCCAGCTCCACTGTGAGGAACCTTGGAGTTATGTTTGACCAGGACATGTCATTGTCATATTAACAAAATTAGAAACATCCTGTCTCAGAAGGATGCTAAAAAACTAGTCCACGCATTTGTTACCTCTAGATTAGATTGTAATTCCTTATTATCAGGATGCCCCAGGAAATCGGTAAAAATTCTCCAGTTGGTCCAAAATGCAGGGGACACTAAGCAAGCCCCAAGTGTATATCATTAAAATTGTAAGAGAAGATTATGTGTGTGTGTGTGCGTGTGAGAGAGAGAGAGTGGGTGAGTGTGTTTGTATGTACACTCAAATCTTAGAAGCTGGTTCTATATAAAACCACTGAATGTTAAGTATAAATCAGCCTACACTGAGGAGCACTAAGTGATGTAGAGACATTTGATCTTGGGACTGTGGCTGTAGTTTTAAAGACTGTGTAGTGCAGATACATTTTTGTCAAACCAACCTCTAAAGGCCATCTAATTTAACCTCTGCCAGTTATTTTTCCACAACAATGATTCTGTCACTTTCAGGATATTATTATAAAACATCCAAAGAAGGCTCTGGAGTGTGTTTCTTAGTTTCTCACCTGAGTCTCTGGACACAATGATCTCATGTGCTGGCCCATCCCCGCCCTCTCCCCAGGACCGAATCTCCAGCACAACATAACCATTGTCTTTTGGTAGCGGCAGACTCACTGATGATTTTGCTTTGTCGAGAACTTTCAGCGCTGTCTGGCCCTCATGTTTGTACAGGACCTGAGATTACAACACATACACACACACGCCGCATGTGTGCACACACACACACACACACACACACACACACGCACACACACACACACACACATACACACACACACACACACACAGGTTGAAATCAAAGGACTGTTGTTACAGCCCTTATCTTCTGATGGTACTCTTTTCTTCATGCATAAGCAGATTCAAGGCCCATAAACATGATCTTTGATTTTGTTCCGCAGTATTTTTACTGCTTCTCATATCTCACATAAAAGGAGATTAAAAGTGTCAGTATAAATCAAAGCCACTAACCTGTAATTGTAATCTAGCCTCAGAACATGATAAAGACATTATCTTCACAGCTAGGTTCATGCAGTTTATACTGAGTGGTTGTATATGTCCATAATAACACACAAAAGGACATATTCAGTAGTTTGGCCAAGTCACAAGCCATCATATGAATGCTGCAAGCCAAAGTTTATTCTTTTAAGTCTCTTACGTAATGCAAGATATAAAAATGACACAATCTTTGTCATGGTTTTATACTGTTGACACCAGGTCCTTCAGGGCATATACTGTAACCTAATGGTATAAGGTGTGCAGTGCCAAACAAGCTTGCATTGTCTTATCCCCTGTTTTGTTCCCAGAGCTATACAAACTGTCAGAATTCAATGTTTTGCTCTCAAGTCTGATGTTAAATCTTTATGGAGCGCACAAATAAGTCAAGTCTCACATTGTCAAGACCAAGTAAAGCTCAACTCCAACTAGCCTCTACAGGACTATGTGGATGTGGTTTGATTTGATTTGACTTACAGTAGTCTAGAAACATACACTAACAGCTTGGATAACGCAGACAAGAACACACACAAGTATATACTCATTACCTTACTTGCACTAAACAAAACTTTGGCAGAAAATAAAGTTTACATTAAATCCAATTACTCATAGAAAAAGTTCATTGAGAAATTGCTTATTAATCAACTCTCTTCTAAAGCAATCCTTTATGAAGGAACCCTGAGTACAGTACCTCTAATGCAATATGTGTAGAAAGACACAAATACACAGACTTTTGTCACTCACTTTGTAGCCCAGCACAGCTGACTCGTTGTGCATGGCCGTCACATGGTCCCACCGCACCATTACCCATGAGTCATCTGCCTTCCATGAAATGTTGCCGGGAGGACGATTAGGAGCTGGACAAAGACATGTTTTAAAAAGTTAAAATAAAATAAGTAACAGTAGGAAATATATAGGGAAATAATGCAGAGAGAAAGAGAGTGAAAAGAAAATTGAAGAACAATTTGCAGAAACACTTAAGTGTACACAAATTTATATTTTATGAGAACTTGCACAATTCACAATCTTCTCATATTTTGAATTTTCTTTGTGGAATTTTTATGGTAGAAGTCACGTGACATTAGTTAGCTGCTAGTCAAATCCTTTTTTTCACAAGTGACTTTCATTAGTTTGGATAAATTACAACTAAGAATTATGTTGACATTATTCAAATGAAATTCAAATGAATATGTCATGTTTCTGCTAAATGTTGTTGCATCTTGTGTGTGTGCATGAAGATGACTGACTTGACTTATACATTATTAATTGTCACCCTGCCAGCTAATCTTAAATAATTTACCTAAAATTCAAAGTCTCCTTCAATAAATTAATGTAAAGCTTAAACTCACTGGCTCATGACCACATAGTTAACAGTAGTAGGAGCATCCGTACAATGAGTGTCGCATGTCCACTTTTACTGTGGTAGAGCACACAATTGGTGTTTTGTCGGTAAGGTGGGTGTGCCTTCACACTGCCAGCAGCAAGCTGACAAGACTTTCTTTTCAGAATCTCTTAAAGCAAGGCTTCAATCTCCAAAAGGTTCATTGTACACTCTGATGACATTTTCATGAATACTGATGTATGGGGCAAGAGGCGTAACCTCTTATTAGACTGTAAATAGTGCTGATTTGCTGGTGGCATTCAGCATGTCAAGCAGGTCAATACTTTTCTATGAGGAGAAGTAAGGAGTATTTGCTCAATCTGATTTGCCCAGTTTTTACGAATTTAACCTAAGAACAAATGTACGGAAACATTTTGAATAAGAAGACATATTTTACAAATGACACATGGCACATTTAAATGCATTATAATGTTCCTACATTTCAGGGTTATTGCCGATTATACTGATACTGATGATAACAAACACAACACACTTTGCAGAGACTATAAAACACTGCAGGTGGTACTTAAATCCATTCATACTTTTCAAGAGTGGAATCTCAACATTCCCAAACTTCACACCCAAATCACTGACCGACTAAATATGGTGCTTGGTAAATGGACTTATATAGTGCTTTTCTTGTCTTGATGACCACTCAAAGCTCTTTAGAGTACAGTTTTTTTGCCGTTCACCCACTCACACATGTTCATAGAGTGCATCTATGTACAGCACTGTTTCGTCGAGAAGTTATACTTATCTTTGAGTAACATGCTGCTGCTCCAATCCTACTGTTGAATTCATTTGGAGACGCAGGCAAAGGAGGTACAAAGTAACTTTTGTCATTCCTATAGGTACTGAGAAGACCCACTGGCTTCTGCAACTAAGCAGGATAATCCATTTCTTCCAGGAGGAGGGGTGAATGAGAAGTGGACTACATTGGTCATTTTACCTAGCTGTATTACTCATGGGATCAGAGGATAGGTGTGTGTTTTCCATTGGAAGTTAAATAATGACAGCACTGATGCCAATCCTGCCAAGGCAGTACCAGTAGGACTTGAGCATCTATTCAGGGTGACTGGGTAGCATCGTTCAGAAAGATAGCCTTTGGTTAGTGTGCTTTCTTGTTTAAAATTGTGGGTAGATTGATTTCCAAATATACCCACACACATGAGAAACGCTGGAAGATTTGCAGTGTTTATAGCAGTCTCATGCTTTGGCTTAAGTCAGCACAAATGTCTCACCACCAACAGTTATTTACAGTATTTATCATATTCTTACATTGTAACATTTTATTTAGCCCAGTATGTGCTATATTGTCTTTGCTGCTCTGTGATTAGCATGACAGCACCCTGTGATCACATTCTAGCATCCTATGTTACCAAATAACCTTAATGAGCATAATTATCACACCAGCCAAAATAAAGTCAGCAAAATGAGAAATGCAGTAGAGTTTGTTTGAACCACACCATGCGGGGTAGGTATGACAGAAGTCTCACAGTTTTTCAAACTCATGAAAGATAGATAGGTGGGGTCTTACACTTTCAATGTCAGCAGCTTTACACAAATAAATAACTAAAAATTAACACAAACCAAATCAGGATTTTTTTAGCACCTCTGTGCTCAAGCGTAATGTGTTTGCAGTTTCAGTTTCTCTGTTCCTAATAAACGTTCGATGTGTGTGAATGCTACAGCCGTACGTGGTTTCCTGGTGGTGACGGTGGTGCGTGGCGAGGGTGGCCCGGTACCAGCACTGTTGTATGCCAGTACTGTGATGTGGTATCGAGTGCTGGGTCGAAGTCCAGATACTCTGGCTGTCGTTTCCAATCCTGCTGTCCTTACCCGGTCTGCTGCCGCTTCCCTTTCATGCTGTCGCCAGTACCGTATCTGAGCAGAACACAATATATGCCAATATTAGTGTCTGTCTTCTTATATCTCATTATATTATATACAAATAAAATGTATTGGTAGAATAGGTGGGCTGTACATGATTTATACATGCAGGTTACATTTTACATTTGCTACAATGTGTTGTTGGTAAAACATCTTTTACTTTACCTCGTATCCTCTGAGGATGCCATTGGCACTAATCTGCTGGACAGGCTCCCATGAAACCTGGATGTCAAAGGCGGTCAGTGCTGAAGCATTAATGTTTGATGGTCCCACTGTTGGCTCTATGTGGAACAAATCAGAGGCCAAGGGGTCAGAATATGCAACATGCAATGTAATATTTACTAAGAGAGGTACAAACTGACTATCTGTGGAGAGGCTATTAAAGGTTGTGGTGCTCTCTGGTGGTTATATTAAATACTGCAGGTAGACCATTTATTTAGCTGGGTAGTGCTCAAATACAGGGTACATTTTGTGTCTCCCAAATAAACCTTTTTTAATTTAAAAAACCTGAATAAATTAGTTTTGAGTAATAATACAAATTCCATCAAATTGCAGGTGTTCAACTCTATTACTGTCAGTGTCAACTCCAGTGGTGCCTGGTTAATAAGGGGCGCTGAGGCGCTTGGGCACTGCCCCCATCAACATCCTGAGACAATAAAGCCTATATAAAAATGTTTAACATAGTTTAATTATATAATAATAGTTTGCTCACGCAATGCACCTGATAGACAGTAAGCATATGTGAGCATTCAATATAAGTTGTTTTCAAATTGTATTTAGTTGGATTTGGTTTCTGTCTAAATACATTTATTTTCTGGTGTGGGGCACTGTCCTTTTATTAACAGCAATTAGGTACTGAAAAACATTTTTTAATCTAATGTGATTGGACGACCCTCTGCACCGTCTCAGGTACACCTGCTGTCACTGAGTTACTTTTGCTGGGAGCTGACCAGCAAAGACATAGTGACTTCAAGTGGAACTGCGGCAAATCCGGTGATTTCTTTACAAAAAACACCCACCAATAAAACAAGAAAACAGTAATAATATATAATATAGGATTAAGGAGCTTGGTCTGGACAGATCTTATTCACAGAATACACAATCTTCAGACCCAAGTTCACAACCTTTCAAAACAAAATATGTGTAATTCATCAAGCTGAATTATAGAGCAACGCTATGCATTTACTTTGTAGATTGTAAACTTTACTTTCATTTAAATTGCTACAGAGGAAGTGATTCTATGAATATTGCTACCATGATGGAAATCAGTCTGTGTTTCAGTTTGTAATCTGTGTCGGTCTGATGTGTTGTCTTCCTAGAAATGTGTTTAATTACTGATAAAAATACCTAATATATCTACTGTATGATTATGTCAGATATTGAAGACTGGATTTTGTTGTAAATGTTTAATAATACCTATACTATACTTCATGTTCAATTTATTAACAGTCATCATTATAACAGCAGTGATATGAATATGTTTGTTTTGTAAAGCAAAGGTTAACAGAGTGTATGTATTAAGTGTAGTTGCAACATGAATCTTGATTGGAATGGTTTACCTTACCTTCCTCTGCAGAGTGCACCACTGCAATCTGGCTGAATGGACCTTCTCCTCTGCGGTTATAAGCTTTGATCTTCACCTCAAAGGGACTGTATGGTGTCAGGCTTTCATTGTAGTAAACATAGCGGGATGACTCCACATGAGGAATACGCATCACTGTCCATGATAATGCGTCTTTCTTCCTAAATGCCAGGATGTAGCCAAAGCTGTCCCCGTTCTGGTACTCTCTGGCCATAGGCTGGAGGGATTGAAGAGAAAATTCCTCTTATTATTATTATCGTTATTATCATTATAATCTGGTGTTGATATCATTAATAAAATCATTACACAGCACATACATGCACTGAGGACTCTCTCTCCTTCTCTCTGTCCCCACAAAAGATTTAAAATTCAAGGAATAATTTTTCTGCTTTCTAGTATTGAATTGCTTATTAGGTGGCCTGCCGTGAGCGTATTGATGACTTCAGGTCTAGCTGTTGTTTGTGTACCAACTTCTGCTCTTTCCCATCTCTCCTAATTCTGCTATTATCTTTTCCACTTCTGCTAATTTCAAGCCACAGTTACACTCTTTGTAACACTATTTTTCACACTCATATAGCTCTCCCTCTCACTCGCTGGCTAATTCACGGTCGTTTACCTTAGTAACCAGGCTGACAGAGAGTCATAGCTCTACTAATCCATCTATTCCTAAAACTTTTTCAGAAACCTCCAAATTAAATTTGTTAAAATATCAGGAAAGAAAATCACCACCTCTTCTCCATGAATAACACAAATCCATTGTCCAGTACAGAAACCTTAAAACATACTATAGTAACAGATTAAATGAGCTGACTTCACTTGTGTCTTCCTCTAAACCAACAACTTGTCTATTAGACTCTGTCACAACTAGACTTTTTAAGGAGGTTTTTCCCCTAATTGACAGTTCCACACTAAATCAGATTAATATGTCTTAACACCATTGTTAACTTACTAATGACCTTTTCGTGGCATCAGATAATGGACTTGTCTCGATACTTGTCCCGCTGGATCTTAGAGCCACATTTAACACCATCGATCATAAGATTCTGTTATAGAGACTGGAACAACATGTAGGGATTAAAGGAACAGCATTGGGCTGGTTTAAGTTGTATAAGATAGATTTGAATTTGTTAATGTTAACAATGACTCCTCCATGTCACTTAAGTTACTTATGGAGTTCCACAAGGTTCTCTACTTGGATGGATTACATGCTCCCTTTAGGCAACATCATCAGAGAGCACAACTAACACTTCAATTGTTACGCAGATGACACCCAGCTGTACATTTCTATGAAGCATGATGAATCTAATCACTTCTAATCAACTTCAGGAATGTCTCAAGAACATCTTGGCATGGATGACCCAAAACTTCTTACTTCTAAATTCAGACAAAACTGAGGTCGTTTTACTTGACCCTAAACACCGCAGCAATACATTGTGTGACCAGATAGTCACCTTGAATGGTGCTAGCTTGGCCCCCAGCTCTACTCTGAACAAGTCTCTAGGACAGCCTTCTTTCACCTGCACAATATCAGGAAAATTTGAAAAATCCTGTCCTTGCATTTGTTACATCCAGACTGGATTATTGTAATTCTTTATTATCAGGATGTCCCAGTAAATCTTGAAAAGCCTCCACTTGACTAAAAATGCTGTAGCAAAAGTGCTGACTGGAACTAGAAGAAGAGATCATTTAATCAGATCAACTTCAAATTCGGTCAGTACAATCTAAACACCTTGATTTAAAAAAGTACCCTTTGTATGTTTTTTGTCAGAGGGTGTGTCTAGTGTGTGGCTTTAAATTTCAAGTGAAGTTATTGAAACTTCAGTGGACAATATCCAGTCTGCACTAAACTTTACATGTTTGATAAGAGTGCCTTCTTGTAAACATCTATATGCTAAGATTCAGACATAGTGCCCCTACTGGCAACAAGAAATGAAATAATTTTATAATGTGACATACTCCTCCAAGCAGGTTGACCACATCCAGCTAAAATATGGTTTGAGGACCCTTTACACATTGTCCATGATAGGAAAATTGAACAGAAAGCTGGCGATTATAATGTAACATTTTCCTTCGTTTTTGCTATTTGTAGCCATTCTACTTTAATTAACCTCCTACAGAATAATAATTTACGCTTCAAATTTGGTTAGTGTAAACAAACTTGAAAATTCCCAGAGAAATTTTGAATGTGTGCCTAGTGCTTGCGGCCGGTTCCACAGAGACTGTTTCAGTTTGAGAGAGAGAGACAGACTGGCTGGTTTAAGAGAGAGAGAGAAACACACACAGAGGGATTTTATTTTAAAAAATCCAGCTACGTTCAGGTTTCCTGGTAACATCCTGTAACTATCTGTTTTTTTTTTTATTTTGAAAATCCAGTGGTGTCTACCAATAGGTACACATGGTAAAATGGTAAATGGTATGTATTTATATAGCACTTTTGTAGTCTTGATGAGCACTCATAGTGCTTTACAGTACAGTTTGCCATTCACTCATTCACACACACATTCATACAAAGCATCTATTAGCAGCACTTTTTTGTTCTATGGGGCAATTCAGCATCTTGCCCAAGGACACTTCGGCATTGAAATGGGAAGACTAGGAAGGACAACCGCTCTACCCCTCAGCCAGAGCCACCCCACACATAATAACACTTGACAATGAACAGTTGTGCTTATTGAAAATTTAGATTAGAAGCTGAAAAGAACTGCGATGAACTTTATTATGCTGTAATGCACATGTGCAATCCACTCACCGTCCAGGTAACAATGAGTTCATTGTGGTCTCCTCCTCCTCCTGCAAGTCCACTGGGGGCCACTGTGGGAGCTGAGGGTCAAATGTACATACACAAAATAATCATGAGTGTCTTTAATCTTTGTTGCCATTTCTTGATTACATTGAAACTACTGCAATGTGTAAATGTTATAGTCTGCGTTGGGCTGCCCTCTTCCCCCCTTCTGTGTCTGTCTGTCTCATCCCAGCTCTGTGACTGTGTGTGTATGTGTGCAGTGGGCGCCTTTCTTCCTTGGCTAGATCAGCACACCTGCAGATCTCCGATCTGAATGTGACAACATCATCGCATTAGGTCAAGGCAGGGCCAGCAAGTTAGACTTGAGAGAGATGCAGCAACAGCGGGAGCTAATGCCGCAGAAAAGCATATTGGATTTTTTCACTTCCAAACCCGCAAAAGCAACCAAACCAGCAGCCAAACAGAAGGACGCGGTGTCCAGTTGCTGTACCGGTGGGTCTACTACACCTGCTGAAACTTCGTCCACCACGAGGTCTTTCGTGGCTGTAGCAGCTCAGGAGCCCAAGCTCTGCATCTCCAACTGCTGGATTCAAGAAGTGATGTCAGCCAAAAGCAGATTTGGGACAGACATATTTGAATGGTCATTTTAGCCTGGCTGGTTCTTGAAGTGGCAGTGGCTGCATTATGTGTTGCATAAAGAATGCATTTTGCTTTGTTTGCTGCAAGACAAGGGAGAAGGGGTTCCACCCTGTTGAAGGAAAGCTCAATTCAATTCAATTCAATTTTATTTGTATAATGCCAATTAATAATATACATTATCTCAAGGCACTTTACATAGAAGTTCAAGACCTTAAAATCAGATTAATATGAAGAAACCCAACAGTTCTCACAATGAGCAGCACTTTGGCGACTGTGGAGAGAAAAACTCCCTCATTAACAGGGAGAAACCTCTAGAACCAGGCTCAATGTGAGCGGTCATCTGCCTCGACCGGTCGAAGTTCAGTTCCTTCATGAGTGGAGGGGGCATGCAAGTCGTTTGACAGAATATGCAACTGGATGTGGACACAATTACAAAATGAAATATTAGAATATTTGGCACTTGCAATCCAGAGAGAAATTGTAAGCACACATTTTTTGAACAGCTGATGGTACGACTGATGGAAGCATGTCTGAACCGTTTTTCAAAATGGCACCCCAGTGAAAAGCCCGGGATGTAAACAAAGCAACTTGGACTCATAGGGGACTAGTGCTGGCAATTCATAGTAAATAAAGAGTTTCGCGGCAGAGAATGCGTTATTTAGAGTCTGTATTGTGGATGCCCCAGTCCCTTGCGTTGTATGGATATACGCTGATTGCGTGTGGATCGAAAAGCGTCCGAAGGTATCCAAGTTACTCCAAACCTTTATGGGTGAGTAGATCTACATACCATATGCTGGAAATAAGGACCAGGTTGAAAAAAAAAAACTTCTCCTTTAACACACAGCTTTACTGCCTGTCCATCAAGTCATTTGGGACTGCTTGGACATCGAGCCTTTGATGAAATCCTTGTGCAGCACACAGGGGAATGGAAGAAGACCTTTGGCATTTTCAATTAAAGGTAATACTAAGCCCCTTACTGAAAATGTTTTGGGGCACACCTTATATTGTCCTGCAACACAATTATTCACATTTTCCCCCATTATTAGACAACTTATAGCGACTACAACGTCAGGGCTCCAGACTAATTTTTTCCACTTGCAGCACAAAATTTACGCGCACCACTTATGAAATACAATGCAACACATTCCAAAACTGATGGTTTGGTAATAAATAGAAAATGTACAAAAAAACTACCACTACAAAACAAGTAAACAAGGAACTTCCTCTTACAGAATGCCTCTCCTTCCCTTCTCTTTAGAACACATCCCCCTGAGGACCACTAGGGTCTGGCACCTCTGAAGGCCAAACCTTGAAGTTGGGCCTTCTAGTTCTTTTGCCCTGACTGAACCTCATCTGTACAGTCTCCTTGGCATCAACCTCCTCCAAGCTAGTTCCCTCAAGAGTTATTCTAATTAGGTCCTGTCATATATTATTCTGAAATTGGCTATTCACCTTTACTTTAAGTACATGCTGATTAGGGCTGAGCATCACCTCTGATGCCTCTAACTTGGTGCTGTTGGGACCTGGTATCTGTGAACCATAGTTGGGCCTACATGTGTAGTCAAAAGCCTGACCACATGTCTCCTTTGTTCTGGAGACAAAGGAGAGCTTCCAGAACTCAGTCTCCCAGGGTGCTTCATCTTCACACATAGGTGGTAAAACTGCTCCTGGAGACAACTCTCAACCACTATTGGTCACTGTGTGCCCCATGACCCATGAGGTCACCAGGCCAATATAAGCCGAGTTTCCCCTCTGCTAGTCCTCTTCTCTCTTCGGCCTCTTCCCCTGCTGACTGCTCCTGGAGGATTGGGTCTGGCCCTGCTCTCCCAGCCAGGGAGACTTCCTCCATCCACAAGCTCCTCAACTTCCAGCAGGCCTGCCTGGAGCAGACTGCTAAAACCTTCCAAGGGCAGCGACGCGAGAGCCTGCCTAAGAACTCCAGCACAACTGGCCACGACACAAGGTCTGACCAGCAGATGCACAACAGGATCCACAAATCAACAAGACCACTTCACTGGACTTCGAACAGCACATCCAAAAAGGACCTTTCCCTCTTTTTCATGGACGGGTAACACAACTGGGCTCTATTATTAAGCTAGGCTAAGCAAAGGACTGTTTAATCCTATTTCTATTTCATGTGATGTTTATAAGTTTGACTTGTGTTGTTGTGATATTTGGTAATATGTTATTTGAAAGTTAATGTTAGTTCTGTTATGCTGATCACTTCTTTGCATGCATCTAACTACTTTMTTTAACCTGGCACCAACACCTCACACACCACAAACTTAACACACACATGTGATCTCAGCCACATGGTCTCACCACTCCAGGGAGCCTTTGGTCTTCATAGTGGCCAGCCGCCATTTTGAATCTCAGTCACTTACTCACACACACACATACCCGATTGGTGCCCCGATTTATCTTTTATTAGTTTAATTATTATTTGATATTCATATTTTTAATATTAATGTTTAATATTTCTCTGATAGCCACATTTATTGAATGCCCAAAAGCACACCATTTAATGGTGCCCCGCGTGAAGGAAAGTACATAATTGTACCCCGCATGAGGGAAAGTGCATAATAACAAAATTTTTGGTGCTCTGCGTGAGGCAAAGTCATTAATAATAACATCATTTTGACGCCACATGTAGCAGTGCACAACAGTGCATTATTAAAAATATTTAGGTAGACCTGTCATGACAACACATTTTGTTGAATCATATTTTGTCCTAGAAGTAATTCTCATCATTCAAAAACATTTTCATACTACTGAAAATTACACCCTTTCAAAGGGCAATGGACTTTCAATTCAGGACATTCAGTCCGACATTTGAATTAGAATTTCAAATATTATATTATCCTCAATAAATAAACCATAAATAAAATAAACCCCACACAACCAAAACAATATATTAGATGGACTCTGGCTCTGCTAACAAAACTTGCTCTTGAATAAATATTAAACAGTTGAATGAAGGTATATGTAACCAGCTCAGTAAACAGAGTGGGATGGTTATGATTTAGATGACAAACTTACCATCAGTGTTGTGCCAGTTTACACTTAATAAGAATTAGTTCAAAGTTCAGTTCATACAGATAAAAAATGAACTAATTCTACATTTTTCTTTTTTAAATTTATTTTTGAACTAGTTTCCTTTATTTTTTGCTTGTGAAGCTTTCTGGCTTTCTGTGGCCTTTTACCTGCTTGCTGTGTGCGAATAGTCTGTGAAGGCACGCTGGGCTCTCCACTACCCAGGATGTTGCTGGCGATGACCTGAAATTCATAATCCATCCAGGGCATCAGTCCTATCACACGAGCTGATTCTGCATTCCCCTCGATGTTCACTGGCTCTGTACCGGGCGAAGTTAAGACATGTGAATAATCCATTATATTCATAGTCTGTAAAATAAAATAAAAATACAATAAAATCTCAAAAATAATGACACACACACACCTGTCCTCATGTTCTTCCACTGTGATGACAGTGAGGATCGTCCGATGATTAGATATTTGCCAATGGGACTGTGATTATCGTAGCCACGACTCCACCTCAGCTCCACCGATGTCTCAGCAACATTCTTCACTAGTAAACCTCCAGGAGGTCCTGGGGGTCCTTGAACAAGCAGAGGAAGGGAAATTAACAAAACTAGTCAACATTTTATGTTGATGGAAATCTAGTGCTACACTTATCCAACAGCTACATTCACAATTTACTTTTCAGATTTTGCATTCTAGGTAAACAGTAAAATCATAAAATGTGATCTGACACCTATTGCCGATGATGGTTTTAAATTAAGACTGCCAGCTTGAAACTCATCAACCGCTCTGTCCTCTTTGGCTAACACTGTGTGCTGTATTGCTGAAGTGGAAACCTGGAATGATTTCCTGATGTATATATGTTGTGAACACAATATTGACATATATTCACCTATTATGTCTTTCTAAAGCTCCACAAAGGGAGCTGTAGGGAGATGCAGAGTCATCTGTTAATTTTACTACAGACATCCTTGAAATTGGCCCTTTGTATAAATTTAAACTTTTAACCTGAACACATTTAACACATTTTACATCATGAACTTGATATGAGGATTTGAATGATTTAAAATTATCTTTTTTCTTTTATGCTATTCATCTACTGCTCCTGTGTGCCTGACTTCTCTATGTGGCAGTAATGTGATACATGTGATACACTGGTTTCTGGTTTCAAATTCCTGATCACCACATATATATAAAATAATGGTACACTACAACTAAACTACAACTAGAATTAATTACACTATAATGACCACTGATCACTTTATCAACAAATTCAGAGCTTGTGAGGTCACTCAATCTTGCTCTGAGAGTGGTGAGAGAATCAACTCACTGCAATCAGGTGTGTGTGGGGAGCCTTCATATACCCTGAGTCTCCAGTGCCCTGTGCTGACTCATTGTCTCACCTTCAGAGGCAGTGAGAGGTTCTCCCCGTTGTCAGTGTGTCTGAAAACACACCACTAAAAATTTGCCTGTAGTTTTCCCAGTGAATAAGTTGGTGTTGAAGAGTTTGCTGTGACTCCAGCCTTTGCCTTTCATTTAGAGTTTTCTGGGTCTCCTGGACAATTTTAGGTTTTAGTCACCTGCTTGGCAGTGGTGGTTTTGTTAATGATTTTTGGTGCATTGTTTCTTTAAGGAAGTCTGTAGTGGCTCTATACAATTTCGGTGTTTTGTTTTTCCCCCATTTCCAATCTATCGCTACTGCGATTTTTGTGGCTATCCCCTGGGATAGCTTAGAGAAACCCCTGGGTCTGCACCTGTGTCCCACTCCCCCCCCTCCTTTCCTGACAGAGCTAGTGTTTGCAGTTAAAGGTTCAGTGTGTAAGATTTAGGTGAAAGGGATGTATTGGCAGAAATTTAATGTAGAATAATCCTCATTATGTTTTCACTAGTTTGTGTCATCTAAATTGTATGGATCATAAGAAAGGCCCTTTATATTTAAATAYTTTATATTTACATAGAGGGGGTCCTCTTTACGGAGGTAGCCATGTTTTTTACTCTCGTCCAGACTGGACAAACTAAACACCTTTTGAGTTTTTATGACAATTGAAGCTACCACAGGTTATTTTTAATGTTTGGAAGAGGAGGGTGAGGTGAGGGGTATTCAGCTGCAACATGACATTTCTACACTAGATATAACTAAATTCTACACACTGTACCTTTTAAAGCATGATGTCAAATTATTTTCCCTGTAGTTGTCTTAACAGGCCACAACAATTAGAGCATACAATTTATCTTGTGTCAATAGTCAACAAGGGTGCAGCAGTTGTTAGCTTCCTAGATATCTTCTTATCCACATCATCTTTCTTTAACAAAATATTGTATTTTTTATGTTAAAGAAAAGATAAACACCTCTTACCTCGTACCACTAGTTTACCCGAGGCTAAGGCGCTGTCCACCACAGTCTGAGCTGTACACGTGTATAACCCTGCTTGACTGAGCTGAGTGTTCACAATCAACAGATCCCCAATGTTTTCCTTCTGAAAGATTACAAGCAGAGGGATGGAGATAACCAAGTTGACCAACCAACACTGAAAATCAGGAGTATACCTGATAGAGGAAAAAGGGGGGTCTCCTTATCATTACTCACTCAATTGTTTCATCAGAATGAATCAAATTTGCTGCAGGAGAACCTTACGGTGCTGACTGTGTTTAGCTGAGGTACAAGTCAGGTACGATTTCTTAGACAAAGAAAATCACGACATGCACAAGTTTAGGAGCTAATTTCTCCCTAGTCATGTGCGTAGGAAAAATGAAATATTGCTTATATATAGTGTAGTGTAGCAATTTGTTCTTGCTATTTAGAAAAATACTCAGACCTCAGTTTTCTATGTTGGTATTAATAATAAGCCACCAAATAAGTTGACCGAAATAATATACAGCCTTTTTGCTCAGTCCTACATGCTGTACTTAGGATTCATACTAAAAGTTTATGTGTGCACAAAAGCCTAAAATGGCTGTGCAAAAAAGATTAGGATTTATGTTGCATGCACACCTGAATGCCATATTCCCTATATAACTAAATCCACCTGGAAATGTGCGTACATGGATCTGCCTCATATTCCATCCTCTACACTCCCTCATTCAACAATAAATGGTCAATGCAAATCATGAATATTAAATTATCCTGCGGACCAAACCCGATTTTCATAGTGAATAACTGCAACAAAAAAAGAAGAAGTATAACCTTATCAAAAGATTAAAGCATTCCACAGAAGTGTCACCGCATTATTTATATGTTTAGATAAATCTGACTTAACATCCTAACAAATTGATCAAGTTAATCATTGGTATCCCATCCTTCACCCCAGGGACATTAATTGGAAATAGAACACACTCACACACAAAATACATGAAAACTTAAGTTGTATTTGGTGATACATGTTTTATGGTATCTCAACGTAATTTGCTTTGTTGTTTTATATATTTGCTTATAGCACAGTTATGCTTCACAAGCACAAATAACACTGCTGGTTTATGTTTTCTTTTTATCTTTTATGATAACTCATTATCTCACATCTGCATCGCCCCTTCTCCAAAAAGTTTTTATGCACATTCTCCCTTTTTTATAGGTCCCAAGTACTGTAAGCACTAAATTGGGTCTAAAGGGATGGGTATGCAACAGATATATATGAGGCCCCAGATATCAGAGTCTAAATTATCCATGTTGAAAACCACCATATTATCAATCACAGGACTTACCCCTTCCACCCGGTGGAATGGCCCGGCAGTGTTCTCCACATCAAGTAGGACTCCATTGAGGGCCCAGGTGAAAGTCAGATCCATGGTTGGGTCATGGGAGGCATGACACTGCAGGGTCACATTCTCCCCTTGATTGATGTCAGCATTGGAAGGAGCCAGTGTGATCTTAGTGGCATCTACAAAAAGAGAACTGGTTCAGATGAAAGCTAGCAGCAGACTGTCTTAAATTGCAAAACAAACTGCTTGCTGTTGCATGAGTGGATCAATACCTCTCTGTGTCATACTAAAACTATAGAAGATTAACCGAGCCTAGCGAAAACACTGACATGATAGGAAAAAAGATAGCCCATCTCACTCCATATCAGAGTTCAAACTTACCAGTGCCTCAAAATCTCCCTAATCAAAATGCTGTATCTCTTGTTTAATCCATACAATTAGAAGAATGTAAAGATTTAATAGTTACAGAGCATAACTCCTAAACCAAGAAACTGTTGTTTGTACGTTTCTAAATAAACTGATGAGACAAAAAATGTAAATCGTTGAGCTTCAGAGATGCTTCCAGTTTGTTATGCTGCTTACCACCTCCTGCTGTATAGCTCCATATTTAAATTGCAGAGAACAGGCTGCCATGGACCTCACTCTTAACAAATGTCAAATTATTCCTTTGTAACAGTAAGTACGATCCTGTAAAATCTTACTTTGCAGGCACTAGTTTAAAATGATAAGGCTGACAAATAACAGAACCTCATCCTTGACTTGTTTAGGTCTCATAGTCAGCTCCTGTGACGTATGATGCATGACATTTTTCTAACATCAGGTATATACTAGAGATTTTTAAATGTTATCTGGTTCCATTATTGTGCCAGACTAGATGTGTGTGTGTTTGTGAATGTATTTGTGTGTGTGTACCTCTGACAGACAGATGACCAGTGCTGTTGGCTTTGCCCAGGTAGTTTTCAGCAAAACAGGTGTATTTCCCTTCATCTGCTCTGCTGATGTTGTGGATCCACAAGATTCCATCTGAAGTTACCGTGACTCTGAAAACACACAAGAGTACAGACAGTGAAGAGCACCTGCAGTTAGCTGATTACAGTACTGCAACCCATGCAACACAACTCGGGGACTGATCACCCCTGGCTGGTGAATACATCCAGGTGAGAATGTATGATGATCAAAGACCCGGAACACTCTGTAACTCTCGGCTCTTCACTGATGATGTGTCCAAGTTGCACCAGCTGGTGTCTTAAGAAACCAGAGCTGCTTTATATACAAAGTCCCCTGAGATAACAGGTTTCTTACCTGGAATTCTAAGAATAAAACTCAAGTTTTTTATGTGGGAATAAACCATGAGAGTGATTGTCAACTATCATGTCTGTGCTTCACATTGAAGATCTCCTTTATTCTCATCCTGCTTGCTTCATCTTCAAACCACCTTCAAGTAGTTGTGTAAGTAGATAAAATACAGGGGGTAAGTAGTGCTCTCATCACTGGGTAATTTTTGAAAAAGCAGGCTTGACCTCAACTGGTATGCAACAAGAAGAGAACTACATAATTTTATTGTTATTGATATAAAATCTCCTGCAAAGCTTCCTCGCTGTATCACCTCTATTCTCATTAAATCCACTGCTCACCAGAGCAGATCTCAGGCCTGTTTAACTCTAGAATATCAGACAGATTATCAGACAGATTACCAGAATAATTTAGTGTTATATAAAAGCACTACGTCTAGTTGAGCCTTTTGCAAAGACTTTTATTATTTCTTGACTGGAAATGCCCTGTGTTTGGACTTGAACAACTAAAACAGAATGACACATCCTGATAAAAGATGTTTTCAGCGACAGAAGGAATATAAGCAAATAAATATAATATCAGACAAGTGTGAGGATTTACATCAATTCTGGAAGCAATTCTATTTAAGAAGCAATTCACAGATCTTATTCTGATGGTTGCTGAAATACTTCCATCATCCGTCATTTCACTCAGTTCGGAAGGCTCCTGTAAGCAAAATTAACTATTTGAACGCACCCCTGGTTTCCCTTGATACCGCCTGTTCTGTTTTTGCATATCCTGCATTTGGGTCCTGCTTTGCAAAACCTGACAGCAACATTGCATGTGAAAGGCACAACAGAAGTATGGCCTCTTAAATGTAAGAGAAATGTGGGTGAGAATATGATACGGTTGGAGTATGAAATGAATCATTGATCATACATTGTGGCTGTCACAGTCATCAGAGTCATGATCAGTTCAATCAATTTTTTCCTATTAAATGAATATGACCCATAAAAGCACCCTGGTATTCTTCGAAATATTTTTAAAGTGGTATACATGTATTTTGTTTAATGGGCTGCATTTCAGTTTCTCTATGGTTGAGAGGGACCTGAGGTTGCTCACCCTGCAGATGATCCCATCTATTGGAGCTTTGGTTATCTATCGCATGAATCTAAAACTAGATAGGTTACAAAATTACCAAACAGGGACAAAGGCAAAAACTTGACCCATTCTTGACCTTTGGCCACCAATTTCTAATCAGGTCACCCTTGACTCCAAGTGAATGTTTGAGCCAGATGTAATAAAATTACCTATGGGTGTTCCTGATGTATCACATTCACAAGAACATGAGGTCACCATGATCTTTGACCATTAACCACCAAAATGTAATAAATGTATCTACAAGTCCAAGTGAACATTTGCATCACATTTTAAGACATTCCCTTAAGGTGTTTTTGAGATGTTTTGTTCAGAAAACCAAAAATGTAAGGTCACGGTGACCTTGACCTTTGACCAAGTAAAGGGAAGATGCAAATTTGAAGAAATTCCCTCAATGGGATGGATGGACAACCCGTAAAGATAATGCCTCCAACCACTAGCTGAAAACTGTCTGGCATTGTGGCTATAAACCCAATGTTGTCTGTGGTAGATTAAAGTATATATATTGTACAGTAGTCTACACCTATGTGCCTTTCCTATATGCATACCAAGTTTTTCTGTTATTTTGATGCTGTATGTAACACTCCGCATTATGGTTAATAAAATAAAATGAAAATCGCAGAAAACACATTTACATTGACACAACGTGTTCAGTTTTTATGACACTGTTTAAATGTATCCATAAACACTGACCAGCGGGGCTGCTGCTAGCGGTACAGATGCATCTACTACTGCTGAAGCCAGTTTGTTTGAGTATTAGAAGCAGTTTTATGAACAAACAAGTGAAGACTCATGTTCTTATGCTAATTGTGCCTGCTGGGTCAGAAAAAACTTGTCCGGACGTCAGCCACATCTGCATCGAATTTGAGAGGACACATCGCAGGGCTACAGACTGGACCATTTAGTCACATTTTGCGACTATTTTGGAGACAGTGCGACTAAATTCTATAACCAGGCGCACCATTGCGATTTTTTTTTATCATCACCGTATAGACGATCACTCGAAATACAAGGAGCCAGCGAAAATGACTACTTAGACTGGGAGCATGTTGGAGTTTATAACCACACACAGGCCCCCGCTCCCAACCCACTTACACAGAGCAACACACAGTTAGATGAGAGGACCAGAGCTCATTTACCTGAGCCAGTTACTTTGTTGAAAAACAGTGGCAACAAAATACACAGTTTCTACTACTGTCCACAGCTGCACAATAATCAGAAGCAGCAGTTTGTACTGTGCTGATGATTCCTGAGTCCTCCCTCCACACTCTTACTGACCTGCACTCACTTTAACTAATAAACAGCTGCATTTAAACATGTACTGAGCACTCACAAATTGTCAGGACTCAGTGTTACATGACCGGAGCGATCTGGATAAACGTGAACAAGTTCATTTTTGAAACCGTGAACTTAGTTAAAACTTAAAGAAGAAATGAACTATGAACGTGAACTAGTTCATTTTCAACTGTGTGAACTGAACTTTGAACTCGTTCTTTTTAGGTATAAACTGGCACAACACCTATATTCCGATATTAACCAGATTAGGACAATATTCTGATGAAGATACTGCTATGTAGAAACATTTTATTACCTTAACCAGATTAAGAACAAAAAGCAATAATTTAAATTAATCAAATTAAGACGTGAAGTATTCTAACTGTAGATGCATAATAAAGACATGTATACGTCTTAATATGGCAAACACCACAAAGCAGATGGCAAGACTGGAGCAGTAACTACAATCAAACTGTTAAGTAGTTAATCTACTGTAGTTATATTGAGCTGAATTACAGAGCTTTTATTTTGAAAAGTTGAGAACTTGTGTCACTTGCATAACATATTTCTGAAAATAAGCGCAGTTCTGCACTCGACTCAAGCATTGGTGTGTTCGGGGGTTTTTTTTCAAATAAATTACTTGATTTACTGGCATAGGAAAAAAATGGCCCCTGGCCAAACTTAATTTTACCTGTAGTAAACTGTTATTCGCTATGCAGTCGTCTGCTTCTACATTGCGTTGCATCATCAATCAAGACATATCAACAGTTCTAATTGACATATAGCAGTGACCATCTGCTTGAAAACAAATGATCTGATTTGGAGTGTAAACAAGTTGTAGGGCATAACATTTATATGAGTCATAATGAGACTATGCTGTAACAGGGAATATGAATGCAATATTGTATAAGCAACTGATGTAAACATCATAATTGAAATAGTCTGAATATTTCTTCAGTGACCCAGTTACTGTACTACCTGCTGCTATTGGTGAGTAGCTCTGTGCCACGGCTCCAGAACAGACTAGGCTTTGGTGCGGCTCGAGGGCGACACTCGATCATCACTTGCCCTCCTCTGGCTGCTGGAATAAGCTTTCGTACTGGATTCAATCTGAAGTCTGGGGCCTGAACTGAAGGAATAGAGTTCAAGAGCAACACAGCACAGGGAGTTTAAAAGAAGGTAATTGATGGATGAGACACAAAAGGGAAGACAGAGAGAGGACAGGATGGAGTTAGATTAAAGGGATAGTTCGACAAGAAATGAAAATTCACCCAATATCTACTCACCAATAGGCGTCAGCTGAGAGAGAGACACACACACATACACATACACAGAGCAGCAGTGTGTGTGGATGTGTGCGCTGTTACTTCCCTCTGGTTCTGGGATCATAAATAAGCTTCATAATTCTTTTATATAATCAACTGCATATATTGATGAATCTGACCCGGGACAAACGTGATCACAAGAAGTTTCCACAGTAGAATTTAGTCCAAGGAGGCGGAGCGAAATTTGACATATCCGCATTTTCAAATTCTCTGTTTTCTCTCTATTGTCTTCATATTCTCTTCTTCCGACAATGATTCACTGACAGAAAACCCCGTCAATGATCTGAATGTCTTTTATTTATCATCTAAGACGGCAGGGCTCCATCTGATTGGCCAAATATATTGACATGCAGAGTGTGAATGTGTGGTGTATGGATCAACATTTATCACATTTTTTTACGTCTTTTGCGAAACGTCTGTTGCGCACGTTGATATTGCGATGACTATAGATTTTCAATATATATCGTGCAGCCCTAACTCCTAGGTATAATAGGATGTTTTTATATATTGTATGTGTCACTGGATGGCATGGAAATTGGAAAAAAAAATGGAATAAAAAATTACAAATATGCAGCACATTGTGTCTTAAGAAGATAACTATATTACATACATTGAAACAGTCCCAGACAATCTACTGAAAGGTGGCACTATTGAATGTAGAACCTCCTCCTACCCTGGACTCTGAGCTCAGCAGTGGAGTAGATGGTGCCATGCTTGTTTTCAGCCACACACTGGTACATTCCAGAATCCTCCAGGGCCAGGTTACTGATCTTGAGACGAGCTCCATTCACCTCCACTCTGTCCTGTGGGGGTCAACAGGAGAGGTTATGTCAGAGGTGGAAAAAGACATAACCTATTTATGGTCAATACAAATTATGGTGGAGTCATACTTTCATAAACCAAACTATTCAAATAAATCACACTTTTACCGCAGAAACAGAAAAGAAAAAAAATAAATGTCCCTTTAGTCATCAAGTTTTTTTCTGAATCTGATCTGATCTGAAGATGATCTCTTATTTAACTACATGTAATCACTTCCGTCTAACACTGTGGTTTAGTATATTTTTTGATCAGAAATGGCAGAAAACTTTCTTATCTTTCCTGGGTTCAATGAATCACCTAATATAAAATAAATGCACTAGGTTGGAGTGGAAGTATTACCTTTACATAGTTTTTGTTTCATGCAAAATGGTATTGATGAGAACATTAGACATTAATACAGTTTGGTTTATTGAACATTAGTGGAGGTGGAGGAAGTTTTAGGGGAGGACTAAGAAATGGTAAAAAATGGGCTAAAATTTGTATTTTGTGCAGTTCCTATATAGAAATAGGAGTAGAACCTTTTGTAAAACCTACATGTGTTACCTGTGTGCTGAGTGGCTGTCCATTGCGTAGCCAGTGTATAGAGGGCCGTGGTTTACCAGCAGCAACACAACTCCAATGCAGCTCTGAACTGATCTCCACCTCTGAGTCACTCATCACCTGCAACCATTCTGGCTGTGCTAGAGTTGGAGAACACAACAGAAGACATTTGGAAATCTGGAGATGTGAATTAAGTGAAATTGAATCAAAAACCTCATAAAGCCTCATAAAAATAAATTCTTAGCTTCAATATAAACAGATGTTCACGGCACATATTTTACTCACCTTGCACGTTGATGCGTCCCTGGTATGTATCACTTCCTTCTGAGTTGTAGGCTTCACACTCGTAAACACCCTCATCATCGAAGGAGAGCTCTGGCAGGATGAGGATGGGACCCTCTGCAGAGGAGCCAGCCTTGGATGGCATCAGTCCGTCCACCTTCCTCCATCGCAGTTTCGGTACTGGACTGTTAAAGAAAGTAGAGTTTGTATGAAAATTGGAGGTAATGTAAAATTATGTAGATTAGAAAAGAAAGAGCAAAGGGACCAGAGGTGGGTAGTCAAAGGAAAGAAAAAGGTTATGAGACAGAGAGTAATATAATTAAAAACATCTGACAGACCAAAAGCTTAACAGGACACAACTGAAAATAGTTTGCAGACACATAATTCAAAGATTTCAAAGATTTCAGAGTTGGAAGCTTACTTTCCATAGGCAAAGCACTCTAACTGGGTTGTGTGTCCTGCCAGAGCATAAATCTCTGCTGGGAAGCGCACTTTAATGCTTGGAGCTGACTTCCTGGGATTGGCTGAAAAAAAAGTAAATATTGTTATACCAAAAATGATATGCAAATTGTACAGCTATAATCTCATCTAAGAACTGGATAGAGTAGCCCACTGCTACTGCTACTATAATGCACAGTATTTGTAACATTTTTATTGTATGCTCTAAGTTATTGTGGACTCATGCAGCAGGACCTCTCCGTATTGGGCTGCAATTATTCTGGCCACAATTATGACCAGTCTCCGTGTTTGCTAAGAGGTCCCTCGAAGCTTGTTGCTGCTCCCATGCATGCTTCACTGTAGAGATGGAAGAGTTCTGCCCAATTTGATTATTGTAAAATTTTAAACTAGAGAATCTACTCTCTGAATCCCTAAAATGACATTTGGCAGCACCTGTCATTTACTCAAAGTGGTTTCTATCTGGTCACTCTACCAGAAGGCCTGATTGATGCAGAGCTGCTGAAAGGTTTCAACATCTCTGCAGAAGAATTTTGACGATCTGTTTGAGAGACGATTAGGTTCTTGGTCACTTCCCTGAACATGGGCTTTCTTGCCTGGTTACTCAATTTGACCATTTCCAGACTACTTCAATTTCACAATTATTGAGGCCACTGTGCTCCTGGAAAAACCCAAAGATTTAGAAATGCTCTTATAGCCTCACCCTGATCTTAGTCCTAATTTTATCGCAGAGTTCTACAGAGAGTTTGTTGGACCTAACATTTGTCCTGACATGCAAAGGGAATTGTGGAGCCTAATATGAGTATGTCTTTTTTTAATAGTGTTCAATTCAGTTTCTTCAGTCTTTAGTCAAGTTCAGGACACATTTCAAGGATTAGAGTGCCACAGCAAAGAGTCTGACTACCTTGATAGATTTTTAATAAAATTAACTTAGTGGGCAAAACACAAAAAAAAATTCCTAATCTAAAATACAGTTCTATAAAAATAATTAATCAAAATCAAAACATATTCATCATTGCATTATACAATGTTTTACTTTGTGTATGGTGATTATAAACATAAACATAAATTGCTTAGGATAAGCAAGCTTAATTTATAAGACGTTTTTTAATTGATTGTGCTACACACAGCCAGGCTCCCCGCAGACCTCCATGTGAAACTACTTGTCGCTGTTAGTAGAGTGTGTATCAAGGATTCAACTGCAATGTCATACCATCAGGAAGAACAGTGAGCTGGTTGGCTTTGCTGAAGGTGCTCTTGGTGCTGATGTCCATGTTGATAGTGGTGAAACAGAAATAGTTCCCTGTGTCATTTGGCTCTGCTTTAGCAACATACAGGTTCCCCGTGAGCTGCGACACAAACCAACGGCTATTGTCTTTCTTGATGAAGTTGGGAAACTCATTGATGAACCAGCGGTAGGACAAAGCTAGGGAGAAATAGATACAAATAAAGCTTGTAATCCAGTGGGAATATACTAGGGTTTTACTTAATTAATATTATAGTGAGCAGAGTTAGTTTAATGCATATATTAATTTGCTTTAAACATTTGATTTGATATGCACCTGCTTAATAATCCTGCCCATTCAAAAATCCCTGACAAATATACCACTGTTTGACTTTAAACCCACCTGTCAGCTGTATGTTGTAAACTATTTTCCACCTGCCAGAACATAATTCCTGTGCATGTTTCTGTAATCTAAAACAGTAAAGTAACAGTGTTTACATTCCCCAACAGTAGTAGGAAGCCTGAGGAAAAGTGGATACCTGGGTAATGTGGAGGTGGCTGGCAGGCCAAGAATGTTCCCATACCCTCATATGCTGTCTGCGGACTCCTGCTGTCAGGAGGGAAATCATGGACGTCTGGAGAAAGATGAAAAGGTAGAAAAAAGTAAGAAATAGAAAAAAGATTATCATTACATAAGATTAATATCACATACACACTGAAACCAATAATACATAATTGGAAGTAACCAAAAGACAAGGAGAGTTCAGTAAAATTCTGTATTGCTTTCTATCTAATGCCTTTTATTTCTGCCTCGGTGACCCACTTAAACAGCTTAAACTGTTTTAAGGTTGTAAGACCCTTGCTTTCTCACAGCCAAATTTGAGGTTTGCTGCTCTGCTGATGATAATTCCACAACGGTTGATAGCCAGACATTGGTAGGAGCCTGTGTCTCGAACAGACTCAGGGCTGCTGATCACCAGGTTTCCAGCCACAAGGGTATAGCGCAGGTCCAAACCAAGTGGGACATCCGTGCCATTCACAAGCCATCTACAGGATAAAATGATAGGACAAATATAAGCAGAAAATTATAAACATAACAAAAATAGAAGGGAGAACAGACCTCTGCCAAAGTATCCCCATGAAACTACAGTTAAATTCACAGGATCAAGTTTTTTATTTGGATCTGCACAATATTGCTCACACTCATATAGTAGTCTCCTAAAAATGCCTACATTTGTCATCAAGATCCATGAGCAATCAACTTAAATGTTGCCAAATGCCCTATCTGGATCGGCCCCCTGTATCCACATCAAAATTGAATGGCTTCTTTCCTGACTCATGTTGCATTCTTCCACCAAGTTTAGTGTTAATTCATCCAGTAGTTTTTCTACTAGAAAAACAAATGGAGAAGAAAACATGATGTCCACAATGTTCAAATCTTCTTCCAAATCATCTTTTGCATGAATGTGGAGCACTT